TGGATGGATGGATGGGTGGGTGGGTGGGTGGATGGATAAATGGATGATGGATGGGTGGATGGATGGATGGATGATGGATGGATGGATGGATATATAGACAGATGTTGTGAAGAGTCTGTTTCTATCTGATGTTCTGTGTGTTTCTGATTCTGCAGGCTGATGAAACTCAAGACGTTCTGCACTTTAATTACACCTCGTGGCCTGATCACGGCGTGCCGACAGTCAACGCCATCGAGAGCATCTTACAGTTCATTCAGATCGTACGGCAGCAGGTCAGCAGGACCAAAGGACCCATCGTGGTCCACTGCAGGTGAGTCTCTGTTAGTGTGTGAGAGTCTGTGCTACAGGAGACATTCCGGCTCACTGGACTCCAGTTACAGTGCCCAGAATCACCGCAGCTCACTGCCAGCTATTGATTTCCTGCTTGTGGTTTTGCTTCAGCTCTTCACTAATGTTACAGTGTGATGATGGAACAGACACTGATGTGTGTGTGTGTGTGTGTGTGTGTGTCAGTGCTGGAGTGGGCCGGACCGGCACCTTCATCGCTCTGGACCGGCTGATGCAGCACATTCAGGAACACGAGTATGTGGATGTCCTGGGCCTGGTGTCGGACATGCGCTCACACCGGCTCTCCATGGTCCAAACCGAGGTACAGAACCTGAACCTGAATCAGATCCAGAACCAAAAACTGAACCAGATCCAGAACCAAAAACTGAACCAGAACCTGAATCAGATCCAGAACCAAAAACTGAACCAAACCCTGAATCAGATCCAGAACCAAAAACGGAACCAGATCCAGAACCAAAAACTGGACCAGATTCAGAACCTGAATCAGATCCAGAACCTGAACCAGATCCAGAACAAAAAAACTGAATCAGATCCAGAACCAAAAACTGAAGCAGATCCAGAACCTGAATCAGATCCAGCACCAAAAACTGAACCAGGGACTGGACTCATGAATAACACTCTTTTGAACTGCTGTTTTCTTTTAGAAAAATATTAAGAATACCTTGTATTCCCAAAAATATACCTTAAGAATGGTCTTCTGTTTTTCTTATGATTGTTCTTAAGACAAAACTGAATAATAATTCAAAATCTTTAAAAGAATCTTCTTAAAAATCATTATAAATAGCCTCTTAAAGTTAGAATAACATCCAACTTGTCTTAAATCCTCAAATGTGAGATGAAATTGCTGTAATTAAACATAACAACGTAACACTAGATACATATTTCTGCTACTAGTGATGATGATGGAAAATGCAGTGCTTACAGCTTCTTGGAATGTCTTAACTTCTTTCTTAAGAAGATTTTGATGAATCTATGGAAGCTTGTTTCCACCACCGGATGAAAAGATAATTTCGACTTTTTATCTCACAATTCTGAACTTTTTTCTCACAATTTATAATTGCAAGAAAAAAGTCAGAATTGTGAGATTAAAAGTCTTAATTAAATGTTTTATTTTTTAATCTGTGGTAGAAATGAAAAAACTGAATTGCAAGATATAAAGTCAGAATACTGATATAAACTCAGAATTGTTAGATATAAAGTTAAAATAGCAGAAATTGGATTCCATTTGAATCCAGCCCTGGAACTGTATTCATGTGTGTGTGTGTGTGTGTGTGTGTGTGTGTGTGTGTGTGTGTGCAGGAGCAGTACGTGTTCATCCATCAGTGTGTCCTCCTCATGTGGAAGAAGAAGAAGCAGCAAACGCACACGAGCTACGTCATCTACGAGAACGTCAGCAAGTCCTAATGAAGTGAGACCTCCAAATTAAGTTTCCTGTGAAAACTCAGCCGATCCTGAGCAGTGTCTGTGTTATGAATTAGTTTTTATTTTTATATTTTCCATTTTATTTTAAAGTTTTAATAATTTTATTGTGTTTTTCTGAATTTTCTTCTATATGTCTACATAGTTTCTATTAATTTAGATTTCACTTTTAGTGTTATTTTAGTACATCAAGTTATACTAAATGAAAGTGAACATTGCTGCCTGGGCATCTAGCTGAAAAAAAAAGTTACGTTTTTATTAGGGATGCTTATTATTGTTAATTTTCCCAGATGGTTGGTGGATGGATGGATGGATGGATGGGTGGGTTGGTGGATGGATGGATGAATGGATGGATGGATGGATGGATGGATGGGTGGAATTAGTTTTTATTTTTATATTTTACATTTTTATTTAAAAATGTTAATAATTTTGTTTTTTGTAATTTTTTTTAGTTTTCTTTAATATGTCCATATAGCTTCTATAAATATTTATTTCAGTTTTAGCGTTATTTTAGTACATCAAGTTAAACTAATTGAAAATGAAAAATGTTGCCTTGGCATCTCGCTGAAAAAGAAAGTTAAGTTTTTACATATTTTATTTCAAGTAACACAAATGTTAGTTATGGATTTAGTTTTAGTTAACTACAGCTCTCTCTGCTTTCCTCCAGGTCTGACTCTCCTCACATCAGCGATGACAGACGTGTGACATCGACACCAGAAACCAGCCAAGCGGCGGCCGCAGAGGAGAATCCTTCACTCATTTACTCCCATAGAAGCTCTTATTTAGTGGACGTACGACGGAACCAATCCGATGCCTTAAAACGAGCTGCTGCGTCCTCCCGTCTCCGCAGAGCGAAGGAGAACACCGCAGCGCTGGACTGACGCTGCTTCCATCCGCATCTAGTCTTTAGTTTGTGTGTGAATCTCAGGATCATCTGGTGCGACACGGCCGGACACGTCAGCGTTCGTTTTAGGCCGGTGTAAAGTGTGTTTCGTGAGTTTGTACCGCACTCTGTCTGTAATAGTGTTAGTTTTCACGTCTCCAGAGGAGGCAGAGTGACAGAACCAGATCCTCCTGTCGGCATGCACATGTAAACACGTTTCGGACCTGACGGCCTTCAATTACTGCCACACACAGACCATCTGCTTCAGTTACAAAGGAAGAACGGACGCACACGTGCTTCGCACTGATCATCTGTGTTACTGTATGTAGAGAGGCAGACGGTAGCTGCGCTTCTGTGACCGAGTGTTTTAGCCTGTGATTTCTGCTAAATCTCCTGCGGGACCGCTGAGCTTCGCTGGCTTTATCTGCAGGCGTTTGGATGTTCACTGGACTGGTTCCAGTGGCGTTTGCACAATTCCAGCGGACTGAATGTGAGCATCCAGCGGCTCGACTCTCATCACTGCGACGCTTCACTGCTGCTGCTGAATCTGACACTGATTCCACACGTCGTGTTCGCTGAACGTTATTATGGGAAGCCAAACAACCCAGAAGTAGGACGAAACATGGCTCGATAGACTGAATGGTACGACTGACTAGACAGCGCAGGGAGGACGTACACGGCACAAACTAATCTCACCATCGCGGTGCTGATCAATTACAACATTACTCATACTGCTCCGCAGAAGTTCATGTGTTTGCCTAGCAACCACCCAGAACACCCTAGCAACTGCATAGCAACACCATATCAACCACCCCGGGTACCCTAGCAACCGCATAGCAACACCTTAGCAACCACCCCGAGTACCTTGGCAACCGCATAGCAACCCCCCTAGCAACCACCCCAGGTACCATAAGAACCGCATATCAACACCTTAGAAACCACCCTGAGTACCCTAGCAACCGCATAGCGACACCCTAGCCACCGCCTAGCAACCACCCCGAGTACCTTGGCAACCGCATAGCAACACCCTATCAACCACCCCAGGTACCCTAGCAACTGCAGAGTAACACCTTAGAAACCAGCTCGAGTACCTTGGCAACCGCATAGCAACCACCCCAGGTACCATAGCAACCACATATCAACACCTTAGCAACCACCCTGAGTACCCTAGCAACTGCATAGCAACACCTTAGCAACCACCTAGCAACCTCCCAGAACACCCTGGCAACCGCATAGCAACACCTTATCAACCACCCCAGGGACCCTAGCAACCGCAGAGCAACACCTTAGCAACCACCTCGAGTACCTTGGCAACCGCATAGCAACCCCCCTAGCAACCACCCTGGGGACCATAGCAACCGCATATCAACACCTTAGCAACCACCCTGAGTACCATAGCAACCGCCTAGCAACCACCCAGAACACCTTAGCAACCGCATAGCAACACCCTATCAACCACCCCGGGTACCTTAGCAACCGCAGAGCAACACCTTAGCAACCACCCCGGGTGCCTTGGCAACTGCATAGCAACCGCCTAGCAACCACCCAGAACACCCTAGCAACCGCATAGCAACACTATCAACCACCCCAGGTACCCTAGCAACTGCAGAGTAACACCTTAGAAACCAGCTCGAGTACCTTGGCAACCGCATAGCAACCACCCCAGGTACCATAGCAACCACATATCAACACCTTAGCAACCACCCTGAGTACCCTAGCAACTGCATAGCAACACCTTAGCAACCACCTAGCAACCTCCCAGAACACCCTGGCAACCGCATAGCAACACCTTATCAACCACCCCAGGGACCCTAGCAACCGCAGAGCAACACCTTAGCAACCACCTCGAGTACCTTGGCAACCGCATAGCAACCCCCCTAGCAACCACCCTGGGGACCATAGCAACCGCATATCAACACCTTAGCAACCACCCTGAGTACCCTAGCAACCGCATAGCAACACCCTAGCAACCACCCAGAACACCCTAGCAACCAGCGCGTTGACAAAAGACACAAACATAACATATTAATGTTGTTATTATATATAGGCATCTTTGCTTTATCAAAGTGATTTTCCCCATCATACGGATAAAGTTTAAAGCATTAATCAACTCTTTATTGCCACATTCAATGTTAATGAAAAGAATCATCATGACAGAAATTTACAAAAGTATAAATTGTAAGAAATAAAAAGCTACAGTTTGAGACCAGAAATGCATCACGTAACTGCTTGCAAGGAAGATTGGAATTATTAACTAATTTCTATAACAAAAGAACGAACGACTCAGACCTGAAGACTCGAGAGGTGAACGAATCATTTCTGTTTCCTGTTTCAGAATGAACGAATCCCTCGATGTTCCCGAGTCATATTAAAGATTCGTTCAAATTGAACCCGTCCTCCTCTTTAATACCGTCCCACTTCTGGTGCGTTTGGCTTCCCGTATTGCATGCTGCATAATGACAGACGCGAGATTAGTCTCATCTTTAGGTTTAGACTCGAGCTCAAGAGTGTTCGTTTCACGCTGGCCTGTTCTGTCAAACACACGAGCGAGTTAACAACCGTCTCCGGTTTACAGGCCAACACAGAGTCTATAATATCATCTCGGCGTTGAGCTGTAAATACTGAAACTAAAGAAACGCTGTACTGTGTTAATGAACGGATTCAGAACGGGCTTCACGTCACTTGATGGGTCTTCTTTGGTTTGTGTCCAGGTCAAACTCGTTCGTCTTTTGGTGCCATTCTTGTGTATGGTGTGACTTCAAGTAGCCGAGCAATCCACCGCATCACAGAGGATTAATGTGTGTTCGTTTGGGAAAAAAATTTACGTTTGAATATGTATTCTTATGAGCAGTTTTGTGTGAAGAACCTCAATCCACATAAACTTCACAAACAATCTGCTGTTCCTCTTTTGTGTGTATGCTGTGTTCATCCTTTGAAATAATGAGATCTACACTGCTGTTTTACACAAGTCTCTTCTGCTCATCAAGGCTGCATTTATTTGATCAAAAATACAGAAAAATACTGGAATATTGTGAAATATTATTGCAATTTTAAAAAATGGTTTTCTATTTTAATATACTTTAAAATATAATTTATTTCTGTGATCAAAGCTGTATTTTCAGCATCATTACTCCAGTCTTCAGAGTCACATGATCTTCAGAAATCAATTCTAATATGCTGATTTATTATCAATGTTGGAAACTGTTGCGCTGCTTCATATTTTTTTGGAACCTCTGATATTTTTTTCAGGATTCTTTGTTAGTTTTTATTCAAAATATAAATCTTTTTGGGGTCCGTATTTTTTTTCTTTCTATTTTTGAAAGAAATTAATACTTATATCGTATTATACTAATACGATAATAAACACATATTGTTAGAAAAGATTTCTATTTTAAATCAAAACTGTCCTTTTAACTTTTTATTCATCAAAGAATCCTGAAAAAAGTATCACAGGTTCCAAAAAAAATATGAAGCAGCAAAAACTGTAATAAATCAGCATATTACATTATGATTTCTGAAGATCATGTGACACTGAAGACTGGAGTAATGATGCTGAAAATACAGCTTTGATCACAGAAATAAATTATATTTTAAAGTATATTAAAATAGAAAAACGTTATTTTAAATTGCAATAATATTTCACAATATTACAGTATTTTTCTGTATTTCTGATCAAATAAAAAACATTTTTTTATGGAAAGTTGCTTTTCCAGACCTCAATTAATTAAAGAACTTGTAGGTATTAAACGAGTGTTCCAGACAGCCATTGGTCAGTTTGTTAAAATAACACGTTATTTTGAGTTCAGAACTTTATTTAATGTTACTGTGCCATACGCAAAGTACCCGCGTGCAGTGCTGGGAGAAACGAACCGTTTCGAAGCTTTGAATCAATTGAATCACTTGCGTTTCAAAATGATTCACTGTTTGGAAACGCCACACGCTGGCGACCCCTGCTGGTCAAAACTGCAGTCAAATGTTTTATGGAGGACTTGTCTAAACAGGCCAGTAAGAGACTACTATCTAATCATGTTTCTTCCTTTTAATTACACAAATGTTTCAAATTAAAAATGTCAACAAATTTTTAAAACTGATCCGAAATCAGGTCAAAAGGCGACACCTGCTGGTCAAACTGTGCAAATGCAACGAGAACACAACAAATGTCTAATAACCAGGTTTCAAAGCGTTCATATGGCTAACGTACAAATCATAAAATATTATAAAATAGGATTCGTGTGTATAATTTGTGCTCTTTTATTAAATTGTGGTGCTTGTTTTGTGTCTCTTATGGGAGGACATGGCTAATCAGGCCAATTTATTAACTACGTCGCTCTAATTACACACGTGCTTGTCATTAAAACTGAACCGAAACTATGAATCTGACCCGAGATCGGTGAACCATGAAATCACGTGACATGACCAGTTTGATACGCGCTCCGAATCACTGATTCGAAACAAAAGAGTTATAAAGTTTCGAAGCTTCATGCAGCAGTGTTTTACTTTTACTTCACTACATTCCAAATCATAATATCGTACTTTTTATTCCACTATATTTCGTAAAAACATGTCGTTCCTGGTTATTTTGAACTGCACTCATCACGCACTACGAGCGGTGTCCGATTCTTGAACGAGCTGATTCTTTTCAATGAGCCTGTTAAATCGGTTCGCAAATCGCACTGAACGATTCCTTGAGTCGACAATTCGCTGATTCAAATGATCCGGTCAGAGCGAGTCTCCAGTGAACGACTCGCTGATTCAAATGATCCGGTCAGAGCGAGTCTCCAGTCAACGACTCACTGATTCAAATAATCCAGTTCACTGATTCAAATGATTCGGCCAGAGCGCGAGTCTCCAGTCAACGACTCGCTGATTCAAATGATCCGGTCAAATAGGATTCGTGTGTATAATTTGTGCTCTTTTATTAAATTGTGGTGCTTGTTTTGTGTCTCTTATGGGAGGACATGGCTAATCAGGCCAATTTATTAACTACGTCGCTCTAATTACACACGTGCTTGTCATTAAAACTGAACCGAAACTATGAATCTGACCCGAGATCGGTGAACCATGAAATCACGTGACATGTCCAGTTTGATACAAAAGAGTTATAAAGTTTCGAAGCTTCATGCAGCAGTGTTTTACTTTTACTTCACTACATTACAAATCATAATATCGTACTTTTTATTCCACTACATTTCCTAAAAACATGTCGTTCCTGGTTATTTTGAACTGCACTCATCACGCACTACGAGCGGTGTCCGATTCTTGAACGAGCTGATTCTTTTCAATGAGCCTGTTAAATCGGTTCGCAAATCGCACTGAACGATTCCTTGAGTCGACAATTCGCTGATTCAAATGATCCGGTCAGAGCGAGTCTCCAGTTAATGATGCACTGAATTCACTCAAAATGAGCCAATCCTCGGAGCTCGGGTGCGCGTGCGACTGATGGCATGAAAAGTAAGTTACTAATGCCGAATTGTATGTTATTGTAAATGAAAATCATATTTAGGTCATGAGTGTCCATTGTTTGTGAACTAAAGCTGCTAAATGGCTGTTTAAGCCCACTGCTTATTGCATGTCCATATTTGTGTATTAGCTTCTAGGTTTTATTTAAAAACTAAACATAACGTTAAAATAACGCAAATGAATGCTCATGCATCTACCCCGCTGCCACAGCACTTTCAAATGATGTAAAAGTAGTGTTTGCACAACTGTTTTCACATTTTGCCCATTGTGACCTCTGTTTTTATATTAGGCCTATATATTTATATTTGGCAACACACATTTAGTTTTTCCTCATTTCTATATACTATATCAAATGTTTTATTTTCACTTGTTTGCACACTCTCAGTAGTAGGCTAATCATGTGTTTTCAGCAGGAAGATAGAATATAATAAATTGCAAAATAGATAAACATTCATCAATCGGTACTTTTTACTTTTAATACTTAAGTACATGAATAAAACAAGTACTTTTACCCATTGAAAGGAGTACTTAATACTTTTACTGGAGTAGTATTTTATGACTCAAGTGCTTGATTTGTGTGCTGAACTCGTGCACCTCTGAATGTAGTGATGAGAGAACGAATCTTTTCGAAGCTTCGAATCAATTGAATCAACTGCTCCGCAAAATGATTCACTGAATCACTCAAAACGCCTGCTCAGGACCGGCCCTAGCATTTTAAGCAATATATTGAAAAAATCTGTCACTTACCCTTTTCTTGCTCACTTTCTTTTCTCTGAGTAACAACTACATGAATGTTCATCATCATACGTGACATTATGCATACAAAATGGACTATGAATGTCATTTCATACTGACTTTAAGCAACAGACAGTCTAACTGAACTGGAATAAAGTGACAATCAAGCGCGCAAATAAAGCAGCCCCACACGTTAAACACAGTATAATCTCTTTTTTATTACAAGATGAGCTTGAACAGTTCTCCACACGCTGCTGTTTGCACGTGGGTTTTTCCGAAGGTCCCTGTAGATTAAAGCGTTTGCTCAGTACAGTATTCTACAGAAAGTCTCCTTCAGAGAAGCACAAACATCAGCACAGAACATATGCTCGGAAAACAACAGAGCTGGCTTGCTCGTGATGGACAGACCAGACGTGCATAATAAACGTGTCTGGAGCATCTAATGCTGTTCGACTACACGAGCATCACACACACTCATAGAAAGATTCACTACAAAAACGCTCTGTACAAAAACTGCTTGTTCCTTGTTATAAATCTGTTGCATGACAAAGAAAGGCGCGTTGCCTGTGACGGACAGAATGGATGCTAGTAGAAAGGTTTCTAGAAAAGTTGAAGTTTATCTAAACGACAGAACTTTGGCTTGAGTCGTTGATGGATTTTATTGCCGCCTTCAAGTCAAAAGTCATGTTAGAATGATTAGAATTTTTATGGGTTTAAAGGAATCATTTTGTAAGCTTGCATTGATCATAATTATTGTGTTTGTTCACATCATTTAGTTTTCTGCTAATGGAAGCGACACGCCTTGCTGGCTTTCTGCGACAAAATAAGATCCAGAACATTTCCCCGCGAACAAAAATATGTTCCGAGAACGTTCCTGGTAAGTTATGATGACGTTATTTCTGAACGTTCAAAGCGTCCAGTTTTTTAAATTTTAAAATCGTGTTTTCTTGGTTACACCAACGTTAAGGGAACATTTCATCATTTTCAAACATGACGTTAAAGTTACTTTTGGAACGTTCAAAGTAACAAAAAAACCGTCCAACTGAAAAAATGCTCCATGAACATTGTGTATAAATAACGTTTTTGTGCTAATGTTTTGAGAACGTTATTAAAGACCAGAGAACTTTCTTACTGCAAGAATGTTTGTTCATAACTTTGAGAGAACCTTGCCAGAACATTAGCCAAATTCTGACCGTGTTTTATAACGTTTCCACAACGTTCTGGGAACCAAAAATTGTTAGCTGGGCCATAACTTTCTCTCAATAATAAACAGATTTATACTTTCTTTTTGAGACGCTAATATGAAATTGCACATAGTGCTCATTTATTTCACACACATCCGATCATAATTAAGATTTCTGACATGTAATATAGAGCAGAAGTCAGGCTCCTGATGCAGAAATCCCATTCAGTTACTTTTTTATCAAGAAAATTATTAATAATAATGTAGAACGGCCGTGAGCGGCAAGTTCATATGATGATATTTGCTTCAGCAGAAGGCATGTCAGTGTGAATATTTTTTACATATAACCAATACATGTAAAATCCCAGGACCAGCAAATCAAGAACGTTTCTTTAACTATTTTTCTAACATTTTTTCTGCTAATGGAAGCGACACGCCTTGCTGGCTTTCTGCGACAAAATAAGATCCAGAACATTTCCCCGCGAACAAAAATATGTTCCGAGAACGTTCCTGGTAAGTTATGATGACGTTATTTCTGAACGTTCAAAGCGTTCAAAACGTTCCAGTTTTTTAAATTAAACGTTCTGGGAACCAAAAATTGTTAGCTGGGCCATAACTTTCTCTCAATAATAAACAGATTTATACTTCCAAATTCTGACCGTGTTTTATAACGTTTCCACAACGTTCTGGGAACCAAAAATTGTTAGCTGGGCCATAACTTTCTCTCAATAATAAACAGATTTATACTTTCTTTTTGAGACGCTAATATGAAATTGCACATAGTGCTCATTTATTTCACACACATCAGATCATAATTAAGATTTCTGACATGTAATATAGAGCAGAAGTCAGGCTCCCGATGCAGAAATCCCATTCAGTTACTTTTTAATCAAGAAAATTATTAATAATAATGTAGAACGGCCGTGAGCGGCAAGTTCATATGATGATATTTGCTTCAGCAGAAGGCATGTCAGTGTGAATATTTTTTACATATAACCAATACATGTAAAATCCCAGGACCAGCAAATCAAGAACGTTTCTTTAACTATTTTTCTAACATTTTAGAAACATTCTCCGAGGGGCCGTTCACACGGAACGCGTGTTGCTATTCCAAAGCGCTACTTTTCCATTGTTTTTCCATGTAAACGTGCTCTAGATGGTCGTGTATGACCGTTGCGCTCGCTTGCATTTTTAAGATGCCGTGATAAGTTAAAAGAATTTCAACTTTTACACGCAGCGCCGCTCATCAATGTCAGTTCCAAAACAGCGGACCAATCAGAAGACCCCGGAGGCGGGGCAAGCGTTTGTTTACAGTAGCAAGTTGGCATGGCAACTGTTCTATTTGACGTCAACATTGCGGAGGAGGCGCTTTATTAAAAAACCATTGTGTTTTTAGACACATTCTAGTTTGTGTAACAAACGTTCTCCGAACGTTGCATTGAGGTTTTTGCTGAGATATAACTTGCCCATAGATGTAGTCATTAGATTTATACTGGTTACCGTTCAGTTATTTTTTGGGTGATTTTTTGATTGTGTTCTCTTAAGGTTCTGTTTATCTGAAATTCCGTTTTATTTTTTTCCATATTCTGTTTTTTCCATTAAAATTTTTCTGGTTTCTGTTTATTCTTCTTCTCCATATAAATTTTTCTGGACTCCTTTTTAATGGCTAAATTAAATTGCATTAATCAAAAAGCATAAAATCACGAAACTGCAATTGGAAACATGCTATTTAACATCAATTTAGTTGAACAGAAATTACATTTTTAAGGCCCTATGAAATATGTTTTTTTCCTCACATTCTGTTTTTTTGTTACCAAATTCTGTATAAGCATGTCTAATTATTTGAATGCATAAAAACAACTTAATTAACAATTATTTTTACAATCGCCCTATGAAAAGTATTTAATTTTTAAAGTATACATTTTTCGGGCTATCAAATGAAGGCATAAAACATTAATTTAATTTATCTTTTAATCAAATGAAAGTTAAACTCTTTCTTTTTTTGGGTTAACAAAGGGGGTTTACTATTAAAATTAAAACATGGAAGAAATATTGTGTGATTATCCCTTAAAAAGTAGAGTTTTAATAATGTTATTATTAGTAGTACATACATTCTACTGCACAACAGTAATATTTCTGTCACAATTTCAAGTTAAACCGAGCTTTTATTTTGACGGGTTGCCATGAAGACCTTTACGTTTCTGTTTGTATATGATATGATGCTAGTTTTTCTCAAATTTAGCAGTCAAATGCTCATGAAGTAAACAGTATTTTTGCAGTTTAATATTCATCAGGAAATCATAGGGCCCTATATTTAGGTTTTTGTTTAACAAACTAATACAGAACATTTTCTAATGGTTATTATTAGATTAGACTAATGTGATTCATATGGAGCGGGTCGGTTTGGTTCACGACTTAGGACTCTTTATTGAAGAATATGAGGAAAAGTGTGTTTATCAGGCGCTCTTGAAGGCAGCAATAAAGGCAGCATATGAGTAAAAGTGATGGGTTTAAAACATTGAGCTAGTTTCACAGAGAAAACAGAGAAAAGCAAGGTAAAATGAGAACACAAGTGATTGCTGATCTGTGAGGGATGCGGTTCTGAATCGCTCACGAATCCGGGTTTCCACAGGAAACATCTTCGTGTCCGTCATTTGGACGAGAGTCACAGGAGAGGCGTCAGGTCATGGTCTCTTTCCCCGGGAGCCTCCTGTCGTTAAAGGTATGCATGTTAATCACCTCCTCTGTTTTGACGATGGCTTGTGGCTGGGGTTTCTGTTTCCGCCGCCGCTGGCACTTCAGAGACGCCCTGAGCTCCTCCAGCATCGTGCTGCAGAACGAGCGCTGCGCACAGAAGAGCAAATCACAGACACGCTTTGAGTGAGTTTCAGTTGGGGAAAGTTACTTTTAAAAGTGATGCATTACAATATTGCGTTACTCCCTAAAAAAGTAACTAATTACTAGGGATGTATTGATTTACTCAACTCATGATTTGATTCACGATTTTTTTTTTTTTACAAAATGAGATTTAAGACACATTATAAATTAAATGTGTCCTTTTATTATTGCTTGGACAAAATGTTGCACATTTCTTTGTGAAATTGAAATATAACACTATAATAATATACTAATATAGCACTTGTATATCATTGCTCTTTTGTTGGTTCCGATTGCTTCTATTCTCCTCATTTGTAAGTCACTTTGGATAAAAGCATCTGCTAAATGACTAAATTTAAATATAATGTAAATGTAAATAACAACACTACATTGAAATTTTAAAACAAGCCCCAAATCAAATAAATAA